TAAATTATAACCAGCTAAACTACTGAAGTCAAAACCCAAACTTTGAAAAGAGAAAGAAAAAGAATCAAAACTTCAAAAAGAAAAGGAAACAAAGGGGTGTGAATGAACCCAAACCTGAGTAACCTCTGCAGAAGCGACCCATATGAAGACAACCGTGCCAATCAACCCCAAACCCGCGTTGTACTTCCAACCCATAGCCAAAATCAGCACCAAGCCTCAAGAATTTTGGAATTTTGACCCAAAATACGAACTGGGTTAATCTCAATTTGGCTACAAAATCAACATCTTCACGAAAGCTCCACACGCAGCAAGACAATCCAACTTGTATCTTGTTCAAGGGTTTTGGGTTTCTTTTCTTTTAATTTTTTTGGTACCAAAGGTTGGTTCTTTCGGTTGTTGCGTGACTTGGAAGTTCCAAAGCGTGAGAGGCGAGAAAGATATTTACTTTTTCCAGTTTTCTTGTTCAACATGAATCTGTCAGCAGATGAGTCAATGAGAGTGACAGGTGGTACTGTATCGACTATACTTCCCTCAAGGTGGCAATCTGTAAAACTGGCGCGCTTTCCCGAAATGCTTATTTTAGGTATAAGAATATATTTTTATCTTAAAATAAGGGTGATAATTTTCTCACTCTTCTTTTATTCACTTATACTCTATTTCATTTTTAATAAATTTAGGTTTTAGCCATAAAAGAAATTTCACTTTTGTAAAAAACCAAATTTTTTTCAAAAAAGATAGAAAAATCTCTAAACTTTCAAACCAAAGACATGCAAATGTAAAGGATTCCTTAGGAAATCTAAAAATAAATAAGGGCAATTTTGTCAATTTTGGCTTTTTAAAAAAAAATTCTCTCTCCTTTGATCTTTTCCAAAGTCTCTCTTTGTTTTTTAATATTTTTTGCTATAACAAAAAAGAGAATAAGTAAACAAAAGAGAAGTAGGAACATACAATTTACAAACAAAAGAAAGATAAGCAGACAAAAGAGGAGTATGAAAATTAGATCCCTAAAACAATAGTTTATAAAGTTTCTGTGCCAAATGGCACTTTTGGTCCATCAGCAATTTTTCATTTCCATTCGTGTAGACTCAATTTCGGTATTTTTGGTGATGTAATTTACTTATTTATGTGATTTTAATCTCAATCGGCAATCACTTTAGATTGAATACGGGATGCAAAGTAGCTATCTATGCATTAGAAGTCTTGTGTTTGAATATCTTTAATATCGCTTCTAAAAAATAAAATTAAAAATTAAAAACGGATATCTGTCGTGGTAACATGTACATATTCTCATAAAATCAATTGGAGAAAACTGTGGATTTTCAACATATAAATTGGAATTTAGGGTTCTTGGTGAGAGAGCTTGTATATAATATATGGTACGTTATTCTTCATTTATAAGTCTCTATTCAAAGAACTATGAATACAGATCCTCTACTTGGATTCCAAGAACCCTACCTAAAAATAACATTACTTAAATCAATTACATTAGTAAGCAAATTAGGATATTTGACGTTTAATTTGTTCGTGAGAGCGGTCGTATGGATGACGCACTCGAAGGTGCAACCTTTTTCAAGACGCTAAAACAGAATTCAGATTCATCAGTTTTTTCGTAATAAACCCCAATCTGGTCACCAGCACCAAGCCCGCTGCGCGTAACAAAATCCCAACCCCATTCGCCTTCTAGCGTGGCATTAGCCTCTGGCTTGTAATCGTAAATGCGAAAATGAAGTGCGTGTGTGGTGTCGGTGTCAACATCCTTAACCCTGATCTTTGTGGAATCTGTTCTTACTCTTATGATCTTGTCTTTGTTCCAATGCCTCAGTATATGTTCCTCCACGTCCTTCATGTCTAAATAGATGAAATGAATTACGACATCTAATGCCGTCAGCTCCTTCTTGATTTTCCACTTGATCTGATCATCTTCTTGCGCCATTGAAGCAGTGAAAGCTATGGGGATTGAGAAAGTAGAAGAAGACTTGTGCAGGGCAACGCCTTTGTAAAGTATATATTTATAAACACAATCAGCCAATTAATGGTCTTAAGAGACCATCATGCTGAGAGCCTGACATAGTATTTAATAGATGGGGGAAGATTTTACCGCCATTAAGTGCTCGTGAAATCACAGGCAGAGCAGAGCGAGGGAAATAGAGAACTTTTATTATTATTTATTATATTTGAAACACAATTATAACAAGGCAATGAAATGAGGAGGGCAGAAAAGCGTGCATTTTGCTGAATTAGAGGGACTAGTAAACAAAATTGGCTGGGGGGAAATAGGGTTAAGTTGTACATGATAATTGAGGTACAAGGCTTCGTTGTCTAACCAGCTCGTGAAGATCATGAACAATCTTGAACACAGAATCAGGCTTCGCCAGCTTAATTGCGTTTTCCGACATGGTCTTGAGCTCGTCAGCTTTTGGACCAAACCACTGAGCAACAATCTTTGCTATCTCTTTCGGAGATTTAGAATATTTCCCGCACCCGTTTTCAACAACATATGGTACATTCCCAACTTCCTATAAGAAGAAAAGGTCATTTACTATATTCGCCTGTGAGGGCATGCATTCTCATAACAGAGTAGTACTGGGGAAAGCAGATGATATTTTAACAAGAAACGTAATATGATTGGATAAGTAAAGGCATAGGCAGTGAAATTAAGTTATAGCTTTAACCTGCCTCAGGCACAAGTTTAAATCATCATTACCTGTCCAGCAATGTAGTCATTCAGAATTATCGGGAGGCCTCTTATCATGGCTTCTGCAATAGTGCCTGGGCCCGCCTATTAAAAAGTAGTAGCAATTAAGTTGGTTGGTAATAAAATATAAAATACTGTAATGATTATTATGACCGTGACAAACTTACCTTTGTAATTATGCAATCACAAGCTCCCATGCATTCCTCCATTTTAGTAACAAACCCCTTCACCTATAATAACAATCAATGTCAGCTACTAACTTATGTATATAAATACATATAAGTTTAAGTATGTACATGCATTGGTATGTTAGGGTAGGTGATGTGTTCCTAAAGGCATGTCATGTTAGAATTGAATCACAAATGAAATTATAGAAGATTCTTTTCGAGGCATTCAAATGGCATGCAGATCAATGCAGAAAACGTAAAAGAGGTGCCTCACCAAAAACCATTGGCAGAAAATAAACCTGAATGATGCAAATCTGAGAAGGCAAAACAATGACAAATGCAGTGCATGGAGTTTCACTTCATAAGGTATAAAAATACCTGGACAGGGATCTTCCAGTTGATTGAAAGCAATTTGTTTGCAAGCTTTTTGTTGCGACCACATATGACAAGGACCTGACCTACAGGCTCCCCAAGATTCTCGTCATATAATGCATCCCCAAGTGCCCGAGCTGTAGCCTCAATAGGACCCATTCCTTCTCCTCCTCCCATCAGCAACACAGCAGGAAGATCCTCCTCCATTCCTAATTCTCTCCGGAGTTCAGCCTACAGTTAAATAAAAAAAGCATACCAAAGGTAGTCAAAATTTATTTTAAACCCCCATCTACAACCATGGAATAAGTGCAAGGGAGCTCCCCACCCTTAGATTCCCAGACCAACTATTACCAGCTTTTTCTTTTCCCGACAAACAATTCTGTTTTGACCCAACAACAAAAGGGATTTCTTTTTCGTTTTCAACCTTACTTCAAAATTATAATCTCATGCATCATCTTTCGTCCTGATCATACAATTTCAAGCATTACCATAACTTATAAAAGAGAAAATAATCAGCAAATCATCCAAACCCAACTGACAGCTTGCAAGCACAGATTTCAATCTCAATCAACAGTCACTGGCCCTTGTACAGTCACACCAAATGTTGATTTTCAGGCAACAAATTAGATCAAGGTTAAAGACTTAGTTGATCAACAACAAAGGAAACCAACCTTCGGTCGCACAGGCTTGACAAAGGAAGGGCGTACGGGGAGGCCATAAACCTTGATTTGGGAAGGCTGGAGTCCAGCTTTCAATGCCCTCTTCGCAACTTCAGTTGTAGGACAATAACATCTTGTTACAAGCTTATGAAACCTGGACACGAAGACATACAGTATCAGAGCTATGCTGAGAAAAGGATATGATTAGTAGAGGCTTCGTGCAAAACAAACCATGTAGGATGGCAAGTGCTTAAATCTGTGACAACTGTGGTAAAAACTATTTTCTTCAATAGACCCCTTCCCCTTAGGACACGAAGTGGTACATGTTGCATCAGTGGGTGCACGCTGATAATAATATCCGGCTGGTATTTCATCAATCCTTTGGCAACCTCCCTGCAATACAAAACAGAATTAGAGGATTCGACAAGTCATACTGCCAAAAAGCTGTCTTTGAACCATAACTTGACAGGAAAAAACAAAAACAAAAACTCGAAGATTAGGACAAAATTGGTCATTTCCTGTGTTTTGTAAGCCTATTAAATGTTTTCCTCATAAGGTTAAAATTTTCTAGGACAGCATAAAATAAAGTCCTCAAAATGACCTTTCTATATAACTTTATAAGCTTAAAGTGCATAAGATACACGACTAAAATGTTGTAGATTCCCGCAAGCTATTTTGATCACCAAAACTTACAAAAAACTGCTGCTGCAAACACGAAAGTTCCAACTCACTATACATATTACTCTACTACATAATCATTCAAAAGTTGAAAATGAGTAAAGTTAATAAATGGGTGCTCAACTTTTCCATGAAGAAAAAGAATGCACAATAAACTGGCGGAAAACAGACTAGATGAATTACGAGCATAAACCTTAAGCCAAACAAAGTCTTACCGAGCTATAAATGTAGAAGTTGCCGCAAAATTAGATTGATGCACCAGACGTGGAGCAGTCCCATAATATGTCATCTTCCATAATGGCCCATGTTTCACCAAGAAATTATAGCTCCTGGGAAGTTGATTAAATGGCCAAGGCGTATGATCCGACCATAAGTCAGTAACAAACACCTGCGACATGCACTCTTAACAATAAACACGATCAACAAATTTGTACTTAACCTATTTGACCCCCAAGTGTTCTCTTGATGAAATTTTGTGGGAAAAGATCGAAACTTAAATTTTAAAATCTCATATTTTATGTTGTTATGTTACTACATTTCTGCACAACTGCCAGTCAACGTACATTGCATGTTCTCATGTCAATGATTCTAAATAGCTCTGGAAAACGAAAACTAAAAAAGAAATTTCCATTCTTCTCCCCACAAGTCAAGCAATCAAATACAATGTTTCATAATAAAGTTAAATTTGTTAGGACAATCCAAAATAACTGACCTGATATTCATCCCCAAATTCTTCATTAAACGCTGCCTTGATAGCTTCTGCAGAAGCTCGGTGACCGCCACCGGTGTCGCTCATCAAAATCAGCACCTTTTTGGGGCTCTCTGCCCCCACACCATTCAAAGCTATCCCATGATCGTTAGCACCACC